GGTTCGAGCTTCAGCACTCCACAATACAGCGCACACCCCTTGCTGTTGACCACTGACTCGCTGGACCCTTGGCTGACAAGCCGTTTGAGCCTAGTGGTCCCTACGCAGAGCTGGTGGGTTGCCTCATGTACCTGATGACTTGTACTCGCCCGGTCCTTGCCTACTCTCTCAGCATCCTTGCTCGCTTTGTTGCGCCAGGGAGACACCGTCCTATTCAGTGGACGACGCGCCAGGGAGACACCGTCCTATTCAGTGGACGACAGCTGTGAGGGTGGCGAAGTACCTAGCGATGACATCAGGCGTGGGGCTGGTTCTTGGAGGGCAGCAGTCTGTCGTACTTACTGGTCACTGTGACTCCTCTTACGCTGACGACGCTGAGACTCACAGGTCTACTTATGGGTACTGCTTCAGCCTGGATTCTAGAGCTGTTTCGTGGAGGTCCACGCGTTCCTCCTCGGTCTCGACCTCTACCGCTGAGGCTGAGATCTAAGCTGGTGCCATGGAGGCTGAGATCTGCGTTGGTTGACCTTCTTGCTCGCCGACCTTGGTGAGCGGCCGAGCTTTGCACCGACCTTGTTCACTGACAACAAGGCATCGATTCTTCTCTGGTGAGAGCCACGACTAGAGAGCAGAGTGAAGCACATTAACGTCAGGTACTTTCTTCTGCGAGAGTTGCAGAGACGTGGACAGGCTCGCTTCGAGTTTGTGGAGTCTGAGGCCAACACTGCAGACATCTTCACCAAGGCGCTTCAGCCTTGTGACCACCAGAGGTGTTGTGTGCAGTTAGGCCTTGTTGACACAGGTTCTCGTCGTGTGTAGACTTGAGTTCTCTGCTTGCTTTGCTTGTTCTCTTTGCTTATATCTTTGTGAACTCTTGGACTGGCCTTATGGCCTCTTTTGCTTGTGCTTAGAGTGTGTGGTGACGTTGTGATCCACCTTGAGCTTTGTTTCTTTGTGACTGGTCTTGTGACCGTACACTTTTGGTTTTGCTTGACACCCCTCACTTAGACTATGGGGGTGTGTCAAATGTTGTAGTCTTAGTGATGTGTGTCATAGGGGGTACAACTCTTAGGGTTAGGTCTATATACCCCAACCAACATTATCAATGCAACAATTTCGATTCTGATTGTTTTTGCTACTGTTGACACTGAGGCGCTGGCCCTTGTGAAAGCGGAGCTGCTGAAGAGACACACTATCACTGACATGGGTGAGCTGTGCAGCTATCTTGGCTTGCAGATCACCCGGGACAGAGCACGGCGCACCATCACTCTGACTCAGTCACACATGGTGTAGCAGGTCCTTCAGCGCTTCGGCTTGCAGCACTCCTCTGCCTACAAGTCCCTCTCAGCTCCACCTTCAGACGAGTCCGTAGAGCCGAGTGGCCTGTATCCAGAGCTTGTGGGCTGCCTCATGTACCTGATGACGTGCACACGACCTGACCTCGCGTACCCTCTCAGCATCCTTGCTCGCTTCGTTGCACCTTGGAGACACAGGAAGGAGCACTGGACAGCTGCGCCGAAGGTACTGCGTTACTTGTGCAGTACATTAGGCATGGGGCTTGTGCTTGGAGGACTGGGTTTAGTTGTACTTACGGGTCACTCCGACGCTTCTTGGGCTGACGACCAGGCAACCAAGCACTCGTCACAGTGTTACACTTTCAGCCTCGGCACTAGTTCTATCTCCTGGAGGTCCACCCACTCGTCTTCTGTACTTAGTTCCAGTTGTGAGGCTGAGATCTACGCGGGAGCCATGGCTGCTCAGGAGTTACGCTGGCTGACCTACCTGCTGACAGACTTGGGTGAGCGGCCTCGTTCTCCTCCAGTTCTGTACGTCGACAACAAGGCCACCATTGCCTTGTGTCAGGAGCACAGACTAGAGCACAGAACGAAGCACATCGCTCTACGTTACTTACTTGCTCGGGAATTGCAGCAGCATGGTCAGCTCGGCCTTACCTACGTGGGCCAACACTGCTGATGTCTTCACCAAGGCTCTTGTGCCTAGTGATCATCAGCGTTTCTGCATTGCTTTAGGCCTTGTGCCTACTCTGCCTCACCTGCTGGTTGCTTGACTTGTCTTGTACTGTGATCTCTATATATATTCCTGCATGCTTGCTCTTGCTAGGTTGTGATTACTGTACTGCTTGTGCTTAATAACTCTGCATGTGAACTGGCCTTGTGGCCGCTTGCTTGTGCTCAGAATGCGTGGTGATCTTAAGATTCACCCTGAGCTTTGCTTTGCTTTGCTTCTTCGCTTGACGAATCTTGTGACCGTTGGTTTGATTTGTTATCCCCCACTTTGCCTATGGGGGTGTGTCAAAACATATGTGTTAATGTTTACTTAGGCTGTAGTGGGTTTAGCCTTAGGGGGTACAAGATTACTCTTGACATTGTACTTGTACTCCCCTCATGACCTAATGCCATCACACATTCCTGCTTTCCTATCGTAACACTCCCCACCCCTTGTCATCTCCCCCAACCCCCCTTTCCCATGTCCCTCGCATCTTCTTGTACACTTACATCTGCCCCACAATCCCTCTCGCAGTGCACTTGCCATACGCATGTGAGCCACAGTCCGCGCTAGTAGTGAATTCACCGTATGAACTCGGAAAATTCAACTGAAAATACGCTCGCCAAGTGTGTTGGCTAATTCAGACGATCCATAATAATTCGTCTGAAAATTCAAACTTAGTTCCAATTTTTATCTGAAAAAACAGACCAAAAATATTTGCCCGTCTGATCGTATGACGAAACGATTTTATTTTTTATATTTTCGGAGGGGCCTAAATCCTAGCAAGGGCCCTGGGGCTAGGGTGACGAGGAAATTGTGGGGAGGGGCTGTGAGATGCGAGGGAAATGGGGGGAGTTGAGTTACGAGGTGTAAGGGAATCGGGTAGAGTGGGGCTGAGAGAGACGAGTGTATTTAGGCATGCAAGGGTAACAATCTGCGCACACTGATTTTGACAGGGTAGTAGAAATACTACACTTTTGGAGAAAGGGTACAAAATCATCCCCCTCTTCAAAATCAGGGTAATCATAAAAAAATGGATTTTAGAAAAGGGAATCAGGGCATTTTACCCTTGAAAAAATGCCCCTAGTGTCACACACCCATGCCAAATCTCTTTTGATTTTCACTCTAAGAGATTAAGAGATGTTGCGTAAAAGGCAGAGCTTACCTTAGTGTTTTTCATAACACTGTTTACCAGTCTCTTTCCACAGCTTTTTACTTTCTTTTTTTAAGTGAAATAAAATATCTGGATACACTAATCGCCTACCACATCATCTATAGGAGGTGCTCTCTAGCCCGATCACTGTGGTAGTGGTGATTCTGGGGACACAACTAGGTTGTTTGTGCTTCACTGTGTTGTTCTTTACTACCGTATGATATGTACATGACATGAAAAGATCAATAAAATGATTAATGAATGTAGATAAATGGATTTATGATTTATAAAATATTATATATTGTCAGAACCACATATGATGTGATAAATAATAAACGCATGCCTTAAATTTGAATGATGCTTACCGTATTCTCCCGGACATAAAACCCTTGGGTATAGCTAAAAATACAGGGAAAAAATAGGGGGGGGAAGGGGGGGGTCTCCTCATAGGAAAAAGCTACATAATACCCAGGTGGATATATATGGTATATTTTAGTGTAAGAGCTTTTTTTAATTAGACAATTTGAGTGTTTCCACGGTCGTTTTAACATCACAGGTTGAGGCGCGAAAGTGAGTTTCGACGCGAACGTCATCACCCCCTCGAAAATGCCATGTGACACCTATCTGGCCACGTGCTGCGGAAGATTTGTCAAACATTGTATATGTTTCTGTTTTGTAGGCTATAGCGGGTTAGCCTTTAGGGTGTACATTTCTCTAGGGTTTCATACTTGTACTCCCAAATCTTTCTAGTTGATCACTTCTTGATTCTGACATGGTATTAAGAGCTTAGGTCCTAGACCTAGAACTTACCTAAGGGCCCACCGTTAGAAGCGCCCTCAAGCGCCATATCGACTTAGCGCCTCTCTCCTAGTGCGCCCTCGTGCGCCTCTCCTTCTCCTGCTGCCCGTGCGCGACCTTTTTTTTTTTTTTTTTTTTTTTTTTTTTTTTTTTTTTTTTTTTGCGCGCGCGTCGCCCGCTAGCAGCCCGCGCGCGGCCGTTTCTGCGCGCGCGCCGACCGTTAGCCGCCCACGCCGCCACGAGCAGCCCGCTAGCCGCCCGTCGACCGGCCCTCCTGGCCGCGCGTAGCCCGCTAGCGGCCCGCAGCCCCGCCCGTAGGCCGCCGCGTCGCCCACGTAAGCCGCCGCCCACGCGCGACTGCAGCCCACGCACAGCCACGGATCGCCCGCTACAGCTGCCCACGCGCAAGCCCACCGTCGCGCCGTGTCGCGTCGCGCCCTGCCCGAGTCGCGCCACCCGAGTCGCGCTGCCCGAATCGCGCCGCCCTGACCGAGCCGCGCCGCCCCACGTGCAGCAACTACTGCTACTGCTGCTACTGCTACTACTACTGCTGCTACTGCTACTGCAACTATGGCCAGTCCCACTGTTCTCACTTTTGACGCTTAGGGCCGACCGATTAAGTTTGATGTCTGGCTAGATGACCTCCACCTGTTCCTTCAGATCACTGCCAAGGACGACGTTTCCCTAAATGACCACACGTCCGGCGCTGCCCCCGCACCTGCTGCTACTGCTGACAGTACTGCTCGCTCACAGTGGCAGACCCGTGACGCTCATGCTCGCCTAGCCGTTCGCAGCCACCTGCCGTTAGATGAGCGCGAGCACTTCGGCCAGCATAAGATCGCTAAGGAGCTGTATGATGCTGTAGTTGCACGCTACTCCTCCCCTGCTACTGCTGCGATAGGCCGTCTCTCACTGCCCTATCTCTTCCCGGATCTGTCTGCCTTTGCCACTGTAGCTCACCTCATCACTCACCTCCGTACTAGTGATCTCCGCTACCGTGCCGCGCTCCCCCCCGATTTCCTAGCCAAGAACCCCCCCCCCGATGTACCTCACCCTCTACCTCCTAGTCACTCGCCTCCCTGACTCTCTTCGCGCTGTCAGGGACCAGTTTCTCGCTCTCTCCCCCACTGACCTCACTGTCGACCTCCTCGAGAAGGAACTCCTTGCAGCTGAGAAGAGCATTGTCGCTGTAGGTTCCTCTCGTGGCGACCCTCTCACTCCCTTCTTTGAGGGATGTTCCCCCTCCCCCCTTCTCCCCTCCATTGCATCTGCTGCTACCGTCGACTTCCTAGGTGCTGAGGGAGTCGGAGCTGCGTACGCTCCCAGTGGGCGGCGCAAGGGCGGCAGGGGCAAGGGGGGCCGGGGTGGCGGAGGTGGCGGCGGGGGAGGTAGTGGTGGAGGGGGGGGAGGGGGCGGCAGCGGTGGCAGCGGTGGTGGGAGTGGTGCTGGTGGTGGGGGGGGCGGTGGCGGAGCCGGGGGTGGTGGAGGTAGCGGTGGTGGAGGTGGCGGGGGTGGTGGTGGCGGTGGTGGTGGCGGTGGAGCTGGTGGAGGGCGCGGTGGAGCGGTGCAGCGTGGCGGGCTCGGCGGTGGCCAGAGGCAGCAGCAGCAGCGTCCCAGCGAGACCCCGTCGCCCCAGCAGCTCCGTGAGTGGTACTCTCAGCGTGGGGGGTCTGGGGGTGGAGGTACCTGCACGTACGTTATTCGCACAGGTGACCGCACTGGCCAGACCTGTGGGAGGTTTCACACGGCGCAGCGCTGTTTCTTTCGCCTCGACGACGCCTGGCGCGGGTAGTTTCCTGACGCCTCTGAGCTGCCCCGCTGGGCTGATCTGCTTAAGAAGGGGATTGATATCTTTGCTCTTGATTATGATGCTATCCTTGCTGCTATGTATGCATTGACTATTAGTGTTGAGGGTGACTGTTACCTGAGTGTACCGCCCGAACCGGGTATTGGGACCGGTGAGGCTGCAGCTCTAGGTGCTAGTGCGTCTGCTGCTCTAGGTCCTGGTGAGGCTGCTGCCCTGGGTGCTAGTGCGCCTGCGTCTGCTGGTACCGCGCCTACTGAGGCACTGCACACCTTCACACTGGACTCAGGTGCTTCCCGCTGTTTCTTTCGCGACCGCACTGCCCTCGAGCAGCTTCCTAGACCGGTTGCTGTCTCCCTGGCTGACCCCTCAGGGGGTCCGGTCCTTGCGACCTCCACCACTGCCCTCCCTTGTCCTGCTGTCCCGTCTGGCACGCTGTCGGGCCTCTACCTCCCTTCGTTCTCTACGAACTTGGTGGCGGGTTCCGCGCTCCAGGACGCGGGTGTTCACCAGTTCACCCCACAATGCACGTGTGCCCAGACGGGTCGTCACCTGGCTACCTTCACTCGGCAGCCGGGGTCGGACTTGTACACACTGACCACTGAGTCCCCTCAGGTAGCTGCGTCTGCGTCTGCGTCAGGTCAGCTGTCGGCCCCCTGCTCGTGTCGCTCCCTGTCGCACAGGACTGTCCTCTGGCACCACCGCCTTGGTCACCCGTCAGTGCAGCGCCTTCGCGGCATGCACTCCAGGTACCTTGTCTCTGGTCTTCCCAGGGTTCTCCCTCCCCTACCACCCTCGCCTGCTCCTCCCTGTCTTCCCTGTGTCGAGGGGTGGCAGCACGCCGCTCCTCACTCGTCCTCGTTCCCTCCTCCCGACAGAGGCTCCCCTGCAGACTCTCCACCTGGACGTGTGGGGCCCCGCCCGCGTCCGGGGACAGGGCCACGAGCGGTACTTTCTGCTGGTCGTCGACGACTACACGCGCTACACCACGGTCTTCCCCTTGCGTACCAAGGGTGAGGTCCCTGATGTCTTGATCCCCTGGATCCGCGCTGCTCGTCTCCAGCTCCGCGACCGATTCCAATCGGACTTTCCTGTCCTACGTCTGCACTCTGACAGAGGTGGCGAGTTTTCCTCTGACCTCTTGGCAGCCTACTGTGCGGAGCACTGCATCCGCCAGATGTTCACTCTCCCGGCCTCTCCTCAGCAGAATGGGGTTGCTGAGCGCCGCATTGGTCTCGTCATGGAGGTCGCTCGTACCTCCATGATCCATGCGGCTGCCCCCCATTTTCTGTGGCCGTTTGCAGTGCAGTACGCCGCGCATCAGCTCAACCTCTGGCCCCGTGTCTCTGTTCCGGAGACCTCGCCTACCCTGCGCTGGACGGGGGAGGTTGGCGATGCGTCGGTGTTCCGAGTCTGGGGATGTCGAGCCTTTGTCCGCGATACGTCCGCGGACAAGCTCTCCTCCCGTGCCGTTCCCTGTGTCTTCCTTGGCTTTGTCCCTGACGCACCTGGCTGGCAGTTCTACCACCCCACCTCGCGCCGTGTCTTCGCCTCTCAGGACGTCACCTTTGACGAGTCGGTACCCTTTTACCGTCTCTTCCCCTACCGCACTGCCCCGCTCCCCCCCCCGCCGCTCTTCCTCACCCCAGATGTCCCGTCGGTAGACCCCCTCCCTCCCCAGGGCGCTGCTCCCTCAGGTGTTTCCCAGGTAGACCCGGTCGAGCCTGTCGAGGTAGCTGTTGACTCTGGTCCTGCGCGAGGTGCTGAGCGTGCTGAGCCTGGTGGTGCTGGGTCTGGGGGTACTGAGACTGGGGGTGCTGAGCCTGGGGGTGCGGAGACTGGGGGTGATGAGTCTGGGGGTGCGGAGACTGCGGGTGCTGAGCCTGGGGGTGCTGCGACTGGGGGTGCTGAGCCTCGAGGAGTTGAGGCTGGGGGTTCTGAGACTGGCCGTGCTGCGCCTGTTGGCGCTCCCTCTTCACAGCAGCTGTGTGAGTGGTACTCCCAGCGTTACAACCTCCGTCGTGGGGCTACTGGAGCTGGGGGGTCTGCTGGAGTTGGGGCTGGTGGCCCTGCGGGTGCAGTGTTGCAGCCGGAGCCTCCCTCCCCTCAGCGGCTACGTGAGTGGTACGCTCGGCGCTGCAGCCTCCGGAGTGGAGCTCCTGGTGTTGAGGTACCGCCAGCTGGAGGCCCTGCTGCTACTGGAGGTCCTGGAGCTGCTGGAGGTGCTGCTGGTGCTGGTGCTGCTGGAGGTGCTGGAGCTGCTGGAGGTGCTGCTGGTGCTGCTGGAGGTCCTGGAGCTGCTGGAGGTGCTGCTGGTGCTGCTGGAGGTACTGGAGCTGCTGGAGGTGCTGCTGGTGCTGCTGGAGGCTCTGGAGCTGCTGGAGGTGCTGCTGGTGCTGGTTCGGCAGGGGGTTGTGGTGCTGTCTCTGCTGCTTCTGGGGGCACTTCACGGCCGCGGCCGTACTTCGTTCCGCTCCTTCAGCAGGTTCTTGGTCAGTCGCCTCCTCCTAGTCCTCCTCCCTCCTTAGCATGTCCTCCGCCTGTCCACTCGCAGTCACTGCTACCGCCTGCCTCGCCACTTCCTGGTCCTTCTCCCTACACTGGTCCGACAGGCGGTCTTACAGAGCGTCGTCAGCCTGAGTCTCGTCCTGTGTCGCCTGTGTCTCGTCTTGTGTCACCTGTTCGTGCTGCTCGCACTGGTCGCCGTGTTCCGCGTGAGCGTCCTCCACCTGTCCCTGGCACACACTATATGACTCTGCGTCCTTCCACTGCTCCACAGCGTGTCCCTCTGCCGTCTCCTCCTGCGTCCTCTCTTCCTAACCTTCCTGACCCAGAGTCTGACTCTCTTCGTGCTGCCAGTCCTACTGTCACGCGTCTCCTAGCCTCTGCTGTCACTGACCCTTCCTTTGAGTCTGCTGCTGCGTCTGCCCTAGTTGCTGAGCTTGTCGACTTTGCTGCTCGCTGTCGTCTAGACTACGCCGCGAGTCTTGTTGATGAGTCTGAGTCTGTCTGTCCTCCGTCCGTCGGGGGTGAGTGTGCTCTAGGCACGGACGTCCTTGAGGACAGGCAGGAGGACCTTGAGTGTCTTGCAGCCGCTGCGCCTCATCTCGTGTCCATGCTGCTTGCCCCTGAGGGAGACCCGGATGCTCCAGACATCCCGACCCCGCGCTCTTACGCTGAGGCGATTGCGGGTGAGTACTCCTCTCAGTGGCAGTCAGCCATGGACGCAGAGATGGCATCCTGGAAGTCCACTGGCACTTACGTCGACGAGGTTCCCCCTCCTGGGGCGAACATCGTCAGTGGCATGTGGATTTTCAGGGTGAAGCGGCCGCCGGGTTCTCCGTCTGTCTTCAAGGCTCGTTACGTTGCTCGAGGCTTCAGACAGCGAGAGGGAGTAGACTTCTTTCAGACCTTCTCCCCCACCCCGAAGATGACCACTCTTCGGGTGCTACTGCACGTTGCTGCTCAGCGTGACTACGAGCTTCACTCTTTTGACTTCAGCACAGCTTTCTTGCAGGGCAGCCTGCACGAGGAGATCTGGCTACGCCGCCCTCCTGGCTTCACTGGGTCGTTTCCTCCTAGTACCCAGTGGAGCCTCTGGCGGCCGGTCTACGGTCTCCGCCAGGCGCCACGTGAGTGGCACGACACACTGAGGACTACTCTTGCGGCACTTGGGTTCGCGCCTTCTACTGCAGACCCGTCGCTGTTTCTGCGCACCGACACTTCGCTGCCGCCATTCTACATCCTCGTGTACGTCGACGACTTGGTCTTTGCCACTGCTGACACTTGGCCATTTCGAATTTTAATAAACATTACAAAAACAAGTAAAGCCAACAGGTAAAAACAAACACCAATACGAACTTCTCAATGTGGGCTTTAACACCATAGAATAATCGTACACATGTACATTTCTAGAAATGCCTAAATCAAACCACAAAAACTCCAGGTCCCTGTATGACACTATACTGAAAACAAATCAGGTCGCAGCAACACATTTGGATAGCGCATTTCGTGAGATGAGATTTGTGCCTTCCCGCCCTCCTTTATGGCTGACTGCCCGAAGTATTCCACCAATCAACCCCCCGTCATCCTCGTCAGATTGCGCGACAGTGTAACCTACCCGATGTAGGTCGGCAAATAGAAAGGCGGATACTCTAGCAGTTTCCAAGCCAATATCAACGCGCGGTTGACTACCAGCAATAAGCCATGTTGAACTATATATGATGTTTAGGTTTTGTAGGCTACAGTGGGGTAGTCATTAAGGGGTACAACCCCTTTAGGGTTCCACCTTTGTATCTCATTTCCTCCCTTAGTTCATTCATTCAAGCCTAGGATTCTAACATGGTATTAAGAGCGATTGGTCCTTAGGACCTAATTTTCTTCATCGGGCCCACCTGTTACCCACTGCCCTACCTACTGCCTGCTGCCTGCTGTCACGTGCCGCACGCCAAACCCGTCGTGCGCCGCCTAAGCGCCCCGTCCGCTGCCTCGTCGACCGCTCGCAGCCCCGCGCGCCGCCCGCTAGACCCCCCGCGCGCTGCCTCGCTAGTCGCTCGCAGCCCCGCGCACCGCCCGCCGTGCCCCTGCTGCTGCGGCTGCCTGTGACCCACGAGGCTGCTGCCGCCGCGCCTGCCTGCTGCCCCGCTTAGGGCCTCGCGCGCCGCCGTCAGGAGCCCTGCCGGCCGCCTGCTGCCCCGCGCGCGCTGCCCGCCTCCTCCCCTGCCGGCCGCCTGCAGCCCCATGCGCGCAGCCCGCCGTCAGCCCTGCGCGCCGCCCACCTGCTGCCCTGCCGGCCGGGTGCGGCCCTGCGCGCGCCGCCCTCCACCTGCCCTAAAAGCCGCCTTTTGCCCTGGGCGCCGCCTGACTCCTGCTTTGACAACTGCTTGCACCTCTGCCTGCCGCGTGCCCACTGCCCTGCCGCCTTGCTGCCCTGCTCTGCTTCAGATGGCGAACTACAATGTTCTCACTTTTGACGCAGAGGGCCGCCCTGTCGAACCAGCGACCCTCGTGTACGTGCTGCGACCCCCGTCGCAGTTTCTTGCCA